CTCCATTTCTCTCACTTCGCCGCCACTCCCACAGGCCTCTCTCTCTCTCCCCCCTCCCCCTTACAGCTACTAGATTCTAGAAGCCAACAAAAACAGACGGGGGCGAACCAGAAAAGCAAAACCCCAAGTCACCACTGTCAGTTCTCTCCCTCTCCCTCTCTCTCTCTCTAGATCTGCGCGAGCCTCGGTTTCCGCGATCGCTGGCTGCGGCGGTTGCTCCTGCAGCCCTGCCGCGCCGTCTCGTGCTGCTCCCGCGCGCGCGTGTGCTCGACCGGCCGATGCTCCACTAATCCGAGGCCGGAGGGAGCGATGCGGGCGGGAGGTGGGTACCTCGGGCGGGCGGGGGGTCGGGTGCTCCTCCCGCTGCTGTTGATCGCCACGACGGTGGCATTGCTGCCGCGGGCGCTCGCCCTCACCGACGCCGCCGACGGTAAGCGCCCCCCCTGGTTGCTGCCTTTGCTCTGCTTGCTGGCTCTGGCTGACGAATTGGTTTCCGAGCCGGTTTGAACGGGATGTGCTTGCTTTGCTTCGTTTGGCTCTACTGTTTGTGCAGCGATTGTTCGGGGGGAACGGACGATTTGTCGGTGGAGGGGAGGGGGGCGTTAATTTTCATGCAGTGCTGCTGCACCAGTGGTTGGTGAGAAATGTGCTGGGTTTTGGTTCCGCCGATTGGTTCAGCTTGGTGCAGCAGACTGGTGAGGGGTGGGGGTGTGGGTTTGAGCCGTATTTCTGGATGTCATGTCGTCACTGAATTTGTGTGTGCCTGTCCGTGGAAGCAACGATGTGATGATATCAGACAATTCGGATGTCGATGTGGAGAGTGGAGGCTGAGAGCGATGTTTTTGGTCCTGAGGCAATGTGGTGCCATGTTCTGCAGACTACCATCATTGTCGATGCCAATTGGGGAGATACGTGTCTGCTTTCAGTTAGGATTTGGTTGCGGTGGAAAAAATGCAGGATAAAGGCGTGGAAGATTGGTTAGGTTGCTTACCGTGGATGCGAGCTTTGATCTAACTTGCGCTTGCAGTCCCTCGTCGCCGATAGTTAATGCCAACATGGGTCTCAGTGGTAGAAAGCTGTGATGTAAAATGTGGCTAACTGCGCGAGTATTTTCTAGAGAAATGGTCTTAATAGCTGTTTATAGTACAATGCTGGATTGCGTCTCCAAGTACCTGATTTGGTTGTTCCTTTTACACAAGTGGCGCTGTACTTGCAAATGCAGTTGCAATTTATTTAGTATGTGAATCTATATTTTATGCCTACCGATGTTACAAAGCATTTTGTTTCTTGCTAATGGCTTGTTTGTCCTTCCATTTTTTGAATGCAGTTTCTGCTATAAATGGATTGTATGTTGCACTTGGGTCACCAGCTCTTCCTGGATGGACTGCAAATGGTGGAGACCCCTGCGGTGAGAAGTGGCAGGGTGTTGTATGTATTGGCTCAAATATAGACGCAATGTACGTCAATTATTCTTTAAATTCCTTTCCCTGGTAGAACTTTATATTTTGGGCTTTTATCAACTCATTATCTGTAGAAATTTTATTGCTGCAACGATGGGAGGACAGCTGGGAAGCCTAGGGAACTTCACAGCTATAACCACAATGTAAGGGCCTTCATCGTCAATTTTATTCCCTCACTCATGTTTGATAGTTGTGTCATCTAATTATTCTGTCATATATTCCATGGGTGTTTGAGAAAAAAAACTATGTTCCATGGGTGAATTAAGAACTTCTAGGGGTACATGTAATTATAGGCAGAAGTTATGTTGTCCTCTTATCCCGATTGAGCTTTTTGAGTATTTACTTACATTTTTTGTAGAAATCTTAGCAACAACAAAATCACCGGAACTATACCAGATGATCTACCTGTTACACTGCGGAATCTGTAAGTTCTGTTCTTACTTTGTGCAGCTCCTTGTTCAAAAAATAAATAAATTGTGCAGGTCCTTTAAGTGTTTCTGATTACATAACGAGATGATCTTTTTCTGTTTCTTGCTGCGCAGTTTTCTCTCGGACAACCAACTCACTGGAAGCATCCCCATGTCGCTATCAAAACTTAACAGTTTAACAGCCATGTAATTTATTATTTTCCCTGTAATTAAAAGAGCCACATATTACTTTCCTCTGCAAGCTGTCTCACTCAAGATCTGTCATTCCGTCTTTTCTCAGGTCACTCAATGATAACCATCTCGATGGACAACTACCAGATGCTTTTGGCTCCCTTGTTGGACTTATAAACCTGTAGGACTAACATATTTCTCTCTCTTTTTTGTTACTCGCCCTTAATCTTCATTCAGCTTGCTGATTACATTTGAGCTTTTATCGCAATTCACAGGGATATTTCTTCCAACAACTTCAGTGGTCCATTGCCAACTTCTTTGGGAAACCTGTCATCACTAGTTACGCTGTATGTCTAGCCTACAATTTCTTTCTTGCATTTTTCCTTTTTGGCTACTTTCTTTTTACATTTTCTAATAACATGCTATTTCACAGGCGAATGCAAGATAATCAACTATCTGGGACCCTGGATGTGTTGCAGGGTCTTCCCCTCGGTGATTTGTATATCCACATTCTCTTTGCTGATTTACTTATATTAGCACATCAACTAATTGACAATGTTCTGTTTATAAAATCAAATATTTGATCAGTTAATTGTTGATTTTATAAGAACCTGATTGCTAAACAGAAACTTTCTTTCGGTCATTGTATAGACATTGAATTTGACTGCAATTCGATATAATTCTGGACTTGCGTGCAAGTATGGCACACAGTTTCTGCCTTATTTAGCATAATCAACCTCGAATTTCCTCAGTCAAGGCTGTACAATTCCCCCCCGCAAAAAAAGGGCTGTACAATTCCACATACTTAAACAATGTATATGTCAGTTACACACTTGGCTCTGTATGTACAATATGTAATCAATTACAAAAAATGTAACAATATTTTTATTGGTTAGAAGGAACAGCTCACTGGATAAGTAGTTTTGCATCTCTTATTTGAGCCCTTTATATATTGTACCTCCAGTTCTCCTCTGTGCTCCAGTTGTTTATCAGGACAATGGTATCTCAGTATTTTGTTTCTTTCCTACAAACCGTTCTACAAAACAATAACCAGCCAGTACCATCTTTCATGCAATGCAGTTGATTTTTGTGATTAATAAAGAATATTGATGTCAATCAAACTCTTAACTGTCGATCCAGTTTGCAATACAGATCATTGATAGCTTTGGTTTTTGTAATGCATACAAATATATCCGCTTTGTTGTGATAATTTATTTCTCTTTTAACAGAAATATAGAGAACAATTTATTTTCTGGACCGATTCCTCCAAAGCTACTCAACATACCAAATTTGAAGTAAGAAACATTTTCCCTATTTCAGGTTTATTGGTGTCTTCTACAATTTCACATTGTTCTTGTATCTATATAAAGAATATTTCCTGCACTCGATACTTACACAGCTTATCAAGCAACTAATTATTTTTCCTACAGAAAGGATGGGAACCCATTTAATACCAGCATTGCTCCTTCCACGTCACCCTCTTCAACACCGACAGGCCCTACACCGACACAAACACCATCATCTCCTTCATCCCCTTCAGGAACTCCTTCATCGTCTAATACACCCTCGGGCTCTTCTAGTGGATCCACAGCTCGAGACAGCAGATCATCCTCCGGGAAACACAAGTCTTCAACCCTAAGGACCGTTGGATACGTTTTTCTTGCCATTGTGCTGTTCATAATTGTTGTGCTGCTGGTAATCTTTTGCCTGTCCAAGTACCAAGAGAGACAGAGACATGATTATACAACAAGTCAGGTGGGAAGGGTGCACCAAAGAGTTGAAGAGCCTAAAGTCAAGCAAGCTTCAGCACAGTCAAGGAACGACGTTAAAAAAGGTCTACTTTACTTACCTTTCTGTTGTATAATATATATGTTCTACTCTGTTATTTATATTGTGGTATATGATGTTTCATTAACAGGCTCAGCTGGGGTTGCTGACAGGAAGCCTGTTCGTGAAATAAATTTGGCCATACCAGGTACAGATACTTGTAAATCTGACCACTAGTTCATACTGTAATATTGTTGACCTGTTTAAGTCCAAATGTATAATGTAATTTATCAACTGCTGGCAGCTGCTCTGGAGAAGCCTCCTGAAAAGAGAGAGGAGCGTGTAATTAACTTGGAGCGAACAGAGTCGGATATTTTTGCTGTGGAACCTCCACCACCTCCACCGCCGCCGCCGCCACCACCACCAGTGTCCCCACCACCACCTCCACCACCACCGCCGCCGCCGCCAGTGTCCCCACCACCACCTCCTCCTGTTGAAAAAGTGATTGTTAATCCTATTGTTAGGCCAGAAAAAAGAGCTAGCACCCCACCAAGGGCAGGTCCCTCGACATCTGCAACATCCTTTTCTGTTGCAACACTTCAGCAATATACAAATAGTTTCGGAGAGGAAAATTTAATAAGAGAGAGTAGGTTGGGAAAAGTATATCTGGCAGAACTTCCTGAAGGCAAAGTATGTACAATGTATTCTTCATTTACTCAAGAGGATTTTATGCTTACTGAAATGCTGTCCTCATCTTGTTTTATCCTATACAGTTACTGGAAGTTATGAAGATAGACAATGCCAATGGAAGAATACCAGTAGATGACTTTCTAGAGCTGGTTGCGTGTATATCAGATATTAGACACCCTAGCATCCTTGAGCTTGTTGGATACTGTGCAGAATATGGACAGCGGTTACTTGTTTATAACCACTTCAGTAGAAAAACACTACATGATGTGTTACATGAAAGAGAGGATCTAGATAGTGCACTGTCTTGGGGCGCCCGTCTCCAGGTTGCTCTTGGTTCAGCAAAAGCCTTAGAGTAAGCTGCATTCTACTTCAAAATACCTTTTCACGAATGATTAATTTAGCTTGTTAAGGGGCTGCCTTCATATTTAAAATCAATGCTCTTCTTGCAGGTATCTCCATGACACCTGCGAGCCTCCAGTAGTGCATCAGAATTTTGAGCCAGCCAATGTGCTTCTTGATAATAGATTCTCAGTACGTGTTGCTGAATGTGGACTGTCTGTATTGACGTTGTCAAGTTCTGTTACACAGGTAACCTCAAGTGTTAGTTGTAACTCTTGTGCTTAGGGTGTTTTAGCCTTTTTTGTAACCAAAAGATCTACAACATTGATTAAAAAAAGAAAATTTACCATGTTTACTTACAATTTGGAACTGTATGTTTTGTCAAGATCTTAAGCCTTTAGTCCTGGTCTATCTGACAATGAGTTCATGGAGGATAGCAACTTCTCTTATGTAGAAAAACATGGCACCCCAGTTCTATTACTAGAATGAAACTTGTAAACAAGATCTGTTTCAACAGTACAGTACAAATTCTGAGTCTCGAAACACCCAGTCGTTAACTGGTTGAAATCCTAACAAATTATCCCAAGTACTGACCAAAATAATTAGACATGATTTGCTGAAGCATCACTAGACTTCATGAAGTATCATTTTGTTTTCCAGTGACCTTCAGAAACGAGCCATTGCCCCACAGTTGTTCAGTTGATTTCCAGCTTCATCGTGCATGAACATACTTACATATAATTATGGAGATAATATAGAGCTAGCAAAACTGTGAGCCCCTGACATTGACAGCTATTAGGTCTAGTCCAACAATTTCCTTACAACTAGCTAGTTCTCTCTACATCTTTAGCTATTTTATGGCATGAAAGGCAATTGGAAAACAAAAGGAAATTTGACTTGATCTATATTTATGGATTAATTATCTAGCAGTTATTCTTGCTTCTGCATTTGTTTTAGGGGATTCTTGCTTCTGTACTTCGGTGACGTGTGCAAATGAATCTGAAACCTATAATATATGGGTACTCACAGTTGCGTTCCTTTTGATTTCAGTTGTCTGGTCGCATGCGGGCACTACTAAATTACGAGGCACCTGAAATCCAGGAATCTGGAACTTTTACTGATCGAAGTGATGTTTACAGTTTCGGTGTGGTGATGCTAGAACTTCTTACTGGTCGTAAACCATACGACAGGTCAGTGATGCAATGTAATTTGCAGTGCTCAATCAGGATCCTTTTTTAAATGTTTTTACATCATGCACCTCCACAAAAAATGCGGCGTTCTGATGCACCTATTTGTTATTTTCTTAAAATATGCAGTTCTCGTCCGCGACATGAACATCATCTTGTTAGATGGGCCCAGTCTCAGTTTCATAACATCGAATCACTAACAAAGATCGTTGACCCTTCTATTCGTGGAGAGTGTTCTGAGAAAGTGTTGTCTCGTTTTGTCGACATCATCAGTCGTTGTATTCCGGTAATTCAATGCTTCCATTCCTTCTTAGCTAAGCTGTACTTTCGAAGCACAAGACATGATACAATATGTGCTGCTTTGTTATAACTAGCACATCCTTCAGGTTTTTGTTGCTCAGATTTTTCTTTCCAATATGAATACTTGGGGTAAAAGCCATTATTTTCTTGGTGTCCTATAAACTTGTTCACTATGATATTCCGGTTTTATTTAGCTCGTTTCCGAGGACAGCAATATAATAAGATGATTTTATTGAGCATGTGGCTGACCCGAAATTTCTTATGCAGCCGGAACCAGAATTCAGGCCGCCAATGTCTGAGATTGTCCAAGATCTAGCGAGTATCTTAAACGCTGCTGGTGAGGAATCAGAGTGATAAGCAAAATCAAGGATGGGCCATATATATCGAACGTTGGCGGCGCAGCCAGTGAAGTATATTCAGATGAAACATCTAGCACATTCTGGGGAAACCCTGTCAATATTTTTATTGGACAACACCGTCAACCAGTGTACATGCTGATTTGGAGCCAGAAAGGAGGTAGTGGTACAGCCCCCTTTTGGGGAGGAGGGAGGACATACGGGGATTCTCGTTGTTCCCGGGCAGAAGATCCTTGTATTCTAGGCTTCTAGCCATGATTGTATGAGGTGTATCTCTAGTAACCACCTATAATTTTGGATAGTTTTTTTAACTTATTACCTTGAAGTTAGTGATGTTCGTACGTTTCTCTGCATGCCCGGGTCTCGTCTATCTATGAAGACAAAAGAAATGTTTTTTCTTACTCTATGTAGTTTTAGAACTCTTAATGCTGTTGTAGTCTGGTATAGATGCTGTGCAGGGGCAAATGAAGTCCCTCACTTGACATGCATGCTGTTCCTAAATATTTGTCTTTCTAGAGATTTAATAAATGACTATATACGGAGCAAAATGAGTGAATCTACACTTTAAAATATTCTATATACATCCGTATGTGATAGTCCATTTAAAATCTCTAAACAGACAAATATTTAGGAACGGAGGGAGTAGATTCTACTCTGGAGGCAAAAGTACCCAGTCCACAAACATCGCTCACATGCACCTTTTGCTACAGTAAAATTTTAAAAAGGTTCAAAAAATCCTGAAATTTTTTGTCAACAAACATTGATGGTCACATCAAAATCAACAAAATTGAGGCTCCAAAATGCTTTAAAAAACAGTTTCTTTGGAGCATGATTTTGCTTTTTTCCTCTAAAAATGTCATTTCATCACAAAAATTGACATGCATGTGAAACACACATCAATGTTTGTTACCAAAAAAATTCAGATTATTTTTTGAAAATTTTAAACAATTTTTTGATATTACTACATCAAAGGGGGCATGTGAACTCAGAGCTCACATACTCCATGTCGGAGTTCATGCAAAGACTATGGTAATAGTTCTAAAACCACATATGCACGTCTTCTGGCTATGGATGATGAATAGTGCTTGGTGTGATATTTTGTTTGCAATTTCTTATGGCAATGTGTAAACCAACTTTATCGAAAGGAAGGACTATATTAAGAGTAAAAGAATGTGTCAAGTTCAAAACTAAAAAAATCTTCTGGTTATGGCCTTTTGGGTAATGAATGGTGCTTGATGTGATATTTTATTTGCATTTTTTTATGGTAATGTAGCCCTCGTATGTTAGATTGCTGTGGTGTAAACAAAGATTGTCAAAAGGAACGACTATATTAATAAAAGTAAAAAAAATGCATCGCAAGAAAAAGTAAAAAAATGTGTTACACCCAAAATTAAAAAGAGCAATGAGCCTCTTTTCTCTTTTTTTGGTCTTAGGCCTTTTATTTTAACAGTGCCTTTTTCCTCACTTTTTCCTCTCTTTTTTTCCTCTCAGAGTGGCAGCTGATTGCATCCGTGGAGGCGAACCAACGACAGGCAGCCCGGTAGATAAGCAGGGTGCATCTTCCCACCGCGGGCAATATGGGACAAAAGCTTTTCAAAACTATAACATGCACCCTCCGCAACATGGACCAACTCGGTACGCAGGGGACACGACACACAATCCGGCCCACGTGAAGTCTCGGTATAAAGGAAAAATGAGTTATTTATGTGAAATCACTAGTTAAGGAGCGCTCCCTGCAACGATTAGTCGCGGAGCGCTCCCCGTTTGCCAAGTGTCGCGTGCGGAGCGCTCGTGAGACTTTTCCGGGACGCTCCGCGCGCAACCCTTGTCACATGCACGACCTCTCCCGTGGTTTCTGGTTTCTGGTTTCCCTTTATGATTTTTACTTTTTTCACTTTAGTCCTTGTACTTTTAATGTTTTGTAATACATTTTTGATCTGTTTTGAGATCTGTTTCTCTCCGGTGTGGCTAAACCGTCGCCGCAGACTGTTCTTTCTTTGCCGTCGTCTCCGGCCGTCGCATCCGCCGCTCTTGTCGTGTGGTTACAGCGGCCCTCGTCGCGCCCGCCGCGCTTGTCGCCTGCCCTTACGGCGGTCCTTCTTTAGCATCGACCGCGCTTCCCCATTCGCGATATCATCGTTCCCTACTAGTTGCCTTCGTGGGTTTCCTGTTTCCCTTTTAGTTTCTCTTTTTGTTCCCATTATATCTCCGGGCTATGGAGATGTAGTTACGGGTGGGGGCTACCAACACTATTAGATGTGAAGTTTCAACTCGGTTTGTGGAATTAGTTCTTGATAATCATTGTGTTCTTTGCAGGTATGGCCTGTCCTTTTTGCCGTATGCCGGGTGGCCCGTGTTCTTCTGTTGATTCTTCTGTAGATGTGTTCACTGTGGTTCTGGATCGGCGTTGTTCGAGTCGTGTTGTAAGAATAACATTTTATATTTGATCAATTTTTGGCATACACCCTTATTTCTTTGGTTCTGCTGTTGCTATTTTGAAGGGAAATTATTCTAGGTATTCTTGTTTTGATCATGATCATTCGTTTTTGCAGTATATTCCATGCAGTGTTAGAGCTCATCTTGCTCGTTACATCGAGGAGTGTAAGGCTTTAGCCATAAGTAGGGGTGACAGAGATACTGATCTTGCTCTTCACTCTAGTGAGGGTTTTTTGTATGGTGTTCTGTTTAGTCAAGGTCGGATGAGAAGCAAATTTCATGGTCCTTCCTGGGAAGATTTGGTCATTGATTATGGTTTTCGTCATCATGATAGAATGACAGTTAGGCTTGAGCACTATGGAACGTTGATTGGTGTTGACTTTTATCGGGGTGGAGATATGTTGTCTCCTTTACCTTCTGTTGGTAAGGTTTAATTTTAAGGAAGTGTTTAACTTGTTTTATTTCACATGATTTTTCTGTTACCTTGATCCTGTTTAATTTTATTTTTGTAGCTCTTGATGGTTTGAGCGACTCCGAGAAGCAACTTGTTGGTAGTTATTATTGCACCCGTGGTGTTTTTCTTAATTATCGGCAGATGTATTTCATGACGTGCCAACTCTTTGATGATGAGTACATACCCTGTTGTCTTTTTGTTCACATGATTAATTCCATGAATGTTAATGGTCATCATATGGTCAGATTTATTTTCCATTATTTTTCTTTGTTTATGTTTATTTATTTATTTTTATTATTTCTTTTATTTCTAGTTTTTAATTTTTGGTTTATTTCTAATAGCTTGATGTTTTTGTCAGGTTATTCCTGGCATTGTTCTGAGAAGTTTGAAGGAGTTTGTGACATTTCCCAGGACTGACGTTTTAACTCTTGAAGTTACTTTGGTATCTCGTGATGATGATATATGTGTGAGCACTCCTTGTTGCTACTTCGTTGGCTTGGGTAATAGGATGATGTTCAAAAAGGAAGGATTTAGTGATTTTCTCCAAGCATCGTCTATTGAAGTAAACAACTTGGTGCTCATAACTTTCAAAGAGCGTGATGGGAAGCTTGTTATTATCTTTCATCTTCTGCCACAGTGATGTTAGTTATAGGCTTTGATCATAATGGATTTTGTTTAAAAATCTATGCTACAGTGTAATGTTATTTATATATGAACCTCAATGTTCATTTTTGCACTTCATTTATAGTAGAAGCATGGCAGTGCATCTCTTTTTTAGATTTTTTTGGGATGGATGTTGGTTAATTGGAGGCATAGTTATACATAGATTAGAGGCACCTGTGTGCCTTTGTTTTTTCTATGTTTCCTCTGGCATAGGTTGTAGAGACATGAATATCTGTGGAGCATCCAAGAGGCACGGGAGATCAAGCGTGAATAGCTTGTACAGTCACGATGCATGTTACACGAGGCACGGGTGTTTGGGCATTAGAGTCACGTGAGTGTAGCCTGTATAGGCAGGAGGCACAGTTATAGATTGGTGGCACAAGTATAGGTTGGTGGCGGTCATGTGTGCGGAGCACGTAGGGTCATTGTGGTTTTCATGTGAGGCACGTGGATTGAGTAAACGCAGGCATGGAAGTGAAGTCATTAGAGACACGTTGGTGAAGTCACTACGGGCACGTTTGTGTGGCTTATGTTCTGGAGGCACTGGTATGAACCCTCTTGATGTACAAAACGTGTATATTTTATAGAGGCACGGGAGTTTGACAGGAGAGGCATCGGTGCGAATACTTTGTTAGAGAGGGTCATTTGCGTATGGCAGCTCAAGCACAAGTGTGAAGTCCCTAGTGTCACGGGCGTGTGGCACCACAAGCATGGTTTGGAATATATATTTTGAGAGCCATGGCATCCTACAGAACATAGGTACTTTGCACACAACAGTTTATTTTTGTGGCATCTTACAGAAAGGAACTTGTGTGCAATAAGCAAGGAAGTTGTGAATGGACAGAGCAGTGTTTGATGTGAAATGTGGTTAAACTAACCAAGTGCTTGTCCCTTGCATGTGTGTACTGAATGTTCTTCTGCAGTATTTATGAATTATTCATGCCAATGTTGAATAAGCATTTTACAGAAAAGTTAACAACGATACAATCACATATTCTTTGTAAATGGACGATGCATCTTGTGTAGGATAAATATGAAAATTATAATATAACATCGTGTCATATATTTATCCTTCTATAATTATGGATACAATATATGTTTTCTCAATACTAGGAGATAACTTACTAATTGCATTTAGACATGCAAAATGTATTATGCATTTGTACATGAGCACACCAATGTGTTCAAACATAAAATAGTAATATACTACACACAGAACCTTTGAGCAACAACAATCATATTTACAACATAGGTTAGTTTAATGTAGGCATTTATTTTCTCGCAATTTACCAACAACTGTTTCCCTTCTTGAGCTTCCAGTCGTTGGTAGATCCGTCGTCTTTGTTCTTACGTGGGCGGAGTCTTTCCTTCATTGGTTGTTGGTGGAGGTGACGTAGTCCGTTCTTGATGATTAGGATTCTACGGTATAACTCGTAGCTAACATA